AGGGCGGCCGGGCGGGCACCGGCTGCCAAAGCTGGGAACTGGCCGTCGTCCCGCCGCACCCCGACTGCCCTTTCCTCCTTTTCGTCGCGTAGAGCTGGGTTTTCAACTCCTCCCTGAGAACAGGTGTAAAGGTGATGTCGGTGGGTAATAGTTAACAGCCCCTCGCCTTACCTGCGCCCTGGACACGGTCGTTAGCCCTTCCCCGTCGCCGCCACCGGACTTTTAGAAGCTGTTTGACCTACTGGCATCTGACGATTTAGTTGTGTAAATGTCCAGTTTGTAGCATTTGGGGCGTACGGAATTACAAACACAAAGGAAATGTTCCGGACTAAGCCATTTAATCAAAAAGCTGAGAAAACTAGTTGAGCCGTATACTTTAGAGCTAACCGTGAGTTTTGCTATACTGACTAATGTGGTGTATTATCTGTGATCAGTCATAGAGACTTCTTTTCCTATATTTAGTGCCCCTGCTTCATGCACAGAAGCAGCCGAACAGTCTTAGCCTCAAATTCTTTTCTGGTGTATTTAAGGATGCAAGGAAATAATCAGCTCTCTCAAATTAAGGCAAGCTTGAAAGAAACCATTGGGTTCTACAAATGGTATTTATCTGTACCTTGATAAATTTGTTAGGAGGGAGAAACCCCACTTTTCTGCTCTAAGAGGTGGTCCTAGGATGTTAGTAATGGTTTGGCCAACTCTTGTAGCTGCTGCTTTTTTTTTTTCTTCCAAAGAAGCAACTTCTCAGTAAGAATCAGTAAGATTAGCATGCTTATGGAAAGAATTGATGTTGTGAATCCTTGATTTTTAAATAACTTAAAAATATGCAAAGATTCCAGGAAAGCCTGAGGGTACTGATTAAACAGAGCTGTGTTAACTTGAGTGCTCTCAGGCTAAGAAACATTCTTAGGTAACCAAGTGTTGTACAATCTGTCATAACATTTGAGAGGCCACAGACTCTTTTAAAAATGTGATGAAGCCTGTGGACTCTCCAAGAAATACATTTATATGATTCCGTTTCAGTGGATTTATGACCCCTGCCCCCAGCTCATCTCCTACAGAATACCTGGAGGGTGAAAAGGGAGATCAAAGGAAGAGAGGAAAAGAAAAGCTTGATTTTAAGGTGGTTAGATGGTCAGATGATTAAATTGTTAAGATTGTGCTAGATTTTAATAAATCTGTGTAGGTAAAAATGTAGAGTGACTGCTTGTCACATGATACCAAGTTCCTTAGTGGAATATTTAGAGAATAAATGAAAATTTGAATAACAGTGCAGTTTGGAATGGAGGATTGGTAGGTCCCAAGAGATTGTTGTCAGAGGACATTGTTCAGTTTTGATAAGTTATCATACCTGAGATTGTGATACGTATTTAAAAATGCTGCAGAATTTTGTACGTTTCTAGACTCAATGACCTACTGACAGCTGGCTAAGCTTTGGTAGACATGCTTCTAGCTATGTAATAAATTGCTTCCTCCTTTTGGTTTCATTTCCTCTAAGGGAGTGTTGCTATTCTGAAAAATAATTTTTTAAAACCTTTTTTGGTTATTATGCAGATCATTTGGAGTTCATGAAGGTGAATGAGATGAGATATGGGACTTTTTCAGAGTGCTAGGAGGCATAGTGAAAACGTTTCCTTCCTTTCTTTTATTCTCAGTCTTGCATTTCTAGAGTAATGCTTGTGTAAAAGGAGGTGGTTAAAAACACTGCGCAATGTAAGAGATAGAACCCTTTTTCTCCTTATCTGATGTGGAGTTGTCTTAGAGGTATGGATGGGAAAATTAAGTTAAGACAGTACAAATAACTGGTTAGGGGCCAGTGTGTTAGCAAATGGTTAGTAAGTTTGTCCGTTTTATAGATAGGAAAACATTTCTTTATGATTTTTCTGGAATGGACCTGTGGTTGTGGGCAGACCTCTATGTGGGGCCACCTCCTAAGCCTCTGACTAGTCCATCAGTAGTTGCCTTTGGATCAAGCTCTCTGATCTCCTTTTGAATCTCTTCCGGCCAAGGTAGTAAGGTCTCAGAGTACAAGTAGGGAGACCTCCTGTGGCAGATTTGTTCAGAAGGGCCTCTGGGCATGTTCAGCAGGTGATTGGCATATGAAGGCTGGGTGCAAAGGCACCCACTGCCTCCTTCAGAAACCTAGGAGTTATCCTATCCATGCCCAAGGTGTCCACTGCCCCTTCATGCTGATCATTCTCAAGCTTTCATGTCTAATTCAGACCCTTCTCCCAGGCTGTAGGTACCTGGAACTTACTGGTGATTTAATATGTTTACCCAAATTTCCCACAGACTGAAAACATCTCTCCAAGATATAAAAACACCAAATCAAACTAATCAGTTTTCTCTCCTCCCTCAAACTAATATTTCTTATCCCAGGAATTTATAGCCACTCAGGAACCCATGGGAGTCATCTTTGGTCTCTTGGTCTACTCCTTTATTCTGTCCTCTACCCTGAAGCACACACGCACACATGTGCAGTTGTATGTGGGCGCCACTACACACAGTCATACGTATATCTAATCAGTTACTATTGTCACGAGATCAGATAAAACAAATTAAAAGCTGATTAGGTCACTCCTCAAACTGAAAAAATTGCAGTAGCTATGGATAAAGTTGAAAGTAAGCTGTTTAGCTTGGTCTACAGAGCAGCACATGATTTGATCCTTGCCTTCCTCCCCGGCCTCATCTCCCACCTCTCCCACACTCTTTTGCATTTTCACCATCTATCCATTTTGCCCAAGTTAATCTCCAGGTGGAGCAGTTCTTCTCACTTCTATGCCTTGGTCCCTGTTGGAACCTCTGCTTGGAATGTCTTCCCATCTGAAATTCCTATTAATCCTTCCAGCTTCTTTAAGGTTCTGCCTTGTCCAGCTCCCCTAGGCAGACTGATAGTCCCTATATTTGTACATACTTGGCCATTATTTATGTTGTAATTGTTTTCATGTCTTTCTCACTGCGAGATTTTTGAAGGCTAGAAGCAGGTCTTGGTCATTCTTCTATCTAGAAGCAGGTCTTGGTTATTCTTCTATCTCCATGGCTCAGATATTCTTTAAATATTTGTTGAATGGATACCTTTGCAGGGTCTTCCTAGGCAGAAACATTAGTCTTTAAATATTTGCTTAAATGCCTTCACTATGGGAGTAGGAAGAGGCAGCTGGAGAGCATGACAGTGGATTCACATCCTCTGATATACCTGTCTCCTGCATTTTACCGATGCTTTGGAGATTAATAATATCAAGATATTTGCTTTCCAAGAGAAACAGATGCATGAGACAGTGATCTGTAAAAGATCCTTTTAGCTGGAGCTTTGTCTCCAAAGTCCAGTGAGCTACCTGGGCATGTGAAGAATGCTAATGTGGAGGCCCATGGAGCCTAGAGCTGGGATCCAGAGTGATCATGTGGCCTCCGTGAAAAGGAAGAACGGGATCAGGAGTGCAGGCACTCCCCACCCTCTTTCCCTTCCCTGGCACACTCATCTTACCATGGTCGGAGAGTTTCATGGCTAACCTTGCAGAGATAAGAGAGGAGCTGGAGTGGAAAAAGTTTCTCACTAGCCCTGTGGTAGCAAGAAATGGAGTAGCAGGAGGGGCAGACTGTGCTCTAGCCCTAGGTCCAGGCAGTACTTTGAATCTTGACTGTTCCATAACAGTGATATTTCTTTCTGGGAACCAGAGAGCTATGCCATGTGGCCAACTTCATATGCTCAAGGCCTGGTTTTGAATCAGGGAGAATCACTGAAAGGGCCCAGTCCATTTCTGACCTGGGTGGCATTGCGTCCCAATGGAAACTGAGATAATAACTCTATTATAGCATCAGTGTGCCTGTCGCTGTGACTTTTTAAACCCCCTTGAGTAATGCTCAGCTGTTTGGATATAGACTCCAAATAAGAAGATGGTTGGGTTGGGTCAGCCAGAATTGAATTTTATTAGGGAAGTGTGAAAGAGGAACTCCTAAGAGCCAAGAGTGTGGATAAAGAAGTTAATATAGGTGTAGGTAGAGGTGGGGTGAAGAAAGTTATGGCGTCAGTGGATTGGAGGTTTAAATAAAGCGAAGAATCATTTCAAAAAGGATTAGGACTGTGGAGATTTCAGTGACCTCTGGGGACAGTGCCATTAAGTTAACGCAAGATAGTGAGTAGAAAGTCCCAAGAGACTGAGGATATAAGGAGTTCATGAGCACAAGTTGCAGAGGGCATGTTTTGTTAATAAAGATATTTTATCAAGGTAGGGTTGGACTGCCTGTGTTGGAATCCTAGCTCTGCCATTTACCAGCTGTGTGACCTTGGACATGCTATATAATCTCTCCATGTCTCGGTTTCTTCATCTGGAAAATGGGAATAAAAATAGCACCTATCTCATAGAGTTGCTCTGAGGATTACATGAACTAATAATTTGAGTGCTACCATATAGGAAATGTATATAAGTACTTACTAAATAAAAACACTGTCTTTATGAGACTTCCCTATATGTTTAATTTAATATGTAACTCTTCTAATGCCTAGCTACCATTTCCTCCCCTCCATTATTACTATTATCTTATAATTAAATTATATGCTTTGTTGAACTAGTCCTCTATACGTTTTGTTGAAGTAGAAACTTTTTCATTAGGTTTGTAAATCTGTACTGTAAATCACTTGGAAAAGCATATTTTAAATGAATCTATCTTATGAATTTTATTTTAGCTGTTAAACGTTTAATGAAAGAAGCAGCAGAATTGAAAGATCCAACAGATCATTACCATGCACAGCCTTTAGAGGTCAGTCTCTATCTCTGTCTTCTACATATGGAATTTTAATTCTTAACTATTTTAAAGAAGTTCCTTAAAATTGTTTTTGCACTGCTTTGAGTCATTACAGATGTGTTTGATATGGTTTATTGATGTATTTTATTCCCTATATTTCCTGAGTAATTCTATTAGGCATTCAGATCAGACAGTTTAGAAGAAACAGATTTCTGATCTCTATAAAATGGGCCTCAGATACTAAATTTGTTTTAGGTCTTAAGTATGAGTGAGGAAAAGTGGAAGGAACCCCAGACTACAGTTTGGAAGACTTAGCCCTTCGAGGGGTCTCTACAGCTCGTCTCTGGGCTTTTGGTACAAACATCTCTGCCTCTCTTCATTCAGTCTTCTCATCTGTGAAAGGAAGTTAGTTAAGTGTGCCCAGTCTGGCTTTCTCGGTAATAGAATAAAATATAGTAATTTGTGTGCAAATACTGTAAATGATGAACTACTGGTAACTGTAAGATGATGTTAACAGTGTATGTGTTAATATTACTGACCACTTACTAATAAGCTTTTAGGCATCTAGGAGGGGTAATTTTTAAAAGTTTGTTAAAATAATCCAAATTTATAGTAAAATATTTGATTATATAAATAGTAATTATCACTAATTGAGATTCAAGGATTAATTTCCAGTTTAATTAAATCTGTAATCTGTTTTAAGATTAAGTGACTTTCAATAATGTTATTCATTTATTTTGTCCCCATCAAGAAACAATCAAGTGTGACGTCAAAATAAATACAGTTTCAGACATGCAAGAACACAGATTTTCTTCCTTATAGCCCATTCAGAGGAAGATAGTTGACAATAAACTACAACAAAATAATGCAAAAACCAACTAACCAAACAAACCAAAAAACACAGAGGAAGACTGAGATTCCAGTAAACCCAGAAGACACTCAAGAATTTTGGAATGTGTCAAGAAAGGAATTAGTCTAGATTAAAACTTCAGGGCTCCAAAAGAGATTTTTCAGAGAAAATAAATGGAACTAACGTAATAGGAAATACATAAATCTATAATCTTATTTATTACTATATAACAACCCTCAGACATTTTAAAATACATTTGTTTAAAAAAGATTTTAGCCCTTATGGGACATGAAAGCTAGATTAAATAGTTTTTTTGGGGGGTGGAGGGAGGTAATTAGGTCTATTTATTTACTTATTTTTAGAGGAGGTACCGGGATTGAACCCAGAACCTTATTCATGCTAAGCATGTGCTCTACCACTTCAGCTACACCTTCCTCCCTAAATAGCTTTTATTTATAACTTTTATACTTGAGGCATTTGGTGCATTAGAAACTGTTCTAGCAATAATATAAAATGTGAATTTTTCTCACCGAATAATATTTCTAATACTCACTGATAAAAATGATCCAGATTTTTAATGTTACTGATTTTTGCTGGTTATTATTTTTGTTCAGGATAACCTTTTTGAATGGCACTTCACAGTTAGAGGGCCCCCAGATTCTGATTTTGATGGAGGAGTGTATCATGGACGAATAGTACTACCACCAGAGTATCCCATGAAACCACCAAGCATTATTCTCCTAACGGTAAGAATTCTTGGCTTTTTCGAATGCTTCTGGTTTAACTCTTCATGGTGGCTGTAAAGTATAGTCTGCAGACTCATTTTCGTTAAGAAATAAAGTGAAAAAGAAAGAAATAAAGTGGACCATTATTATTATTTTGTCTTTAGAGACCAGACCTTGGACTATATTTTTTTCTGGAAAAAAAAATTTCTAGGAAGTTGAAGCATCTAAGAAGTACTAGTGATGCTAATTGCCATAGTGTGGTTGTTAGGATTCAATGAATTAATGCACACAATATGCTAGGCACAGTGTCTGGCATGTGGTGAGTACACAGTAAAGGGGAGTTACTGTTATTGTACCTCTTAATCACATCATCTTCTTCAGCTTCTCACCTTTCTTATGCTCTCTGCTCTTCAACTTCCTCATCTTTGCCTATAGCTCTTAGAATAAGAACTGACACAGAGTCCTTAATAAATGTTAGCTGCGTTATCACTGTTTATATTTCAGAATTTCTCTCCATCTTCACATATTTTATTTATCTCCATGTGAAGGAAAACTATTGACCCAGTTTTCTCTTATCTTTCCTGGGATATTATTCCATCAGTAAATTCTTCTCCTGCTTGTTAAGCTTTCCTTCCTTCCTTTCCTTTCATTTGTGTGTTCTTAATTATCCTCTAACCTTGCAAGAAGCAAAAAACAAAACACAAAAACCTTTCTGTAGCTCTGCTACCACTTTGAGCTTCTGTCCCATTTTTCTCTTTGGTCACCTTCAGGACATCCTTATTCTGGTTTAACCTGTTGCATTCTGGTTCCCACACATAGCACCCTGCTGAAACATGCTTACTCCACCAATCTCAGAAACCAGTTTGAGAAATCCAACTCCCTCTTCTCAGTCTTCATCCTATTCACCTAAGTTAAACATCTGACACATGAGGTAGCAAATGGTGAAGATAAAGGTATCCATCGTTACCAAGTTAAGGTTACTTTTGTATATAGTGTTTGGTGCAGTGGAAAGAGCATTAGTTTTGGAGCCAATAAACCTTGATTCTGGCCAGTGCTGTTTCCATTACACCACAGGCAGGTTACATAATCCCTTTGAAATTCAGTTTTCTCATTTGTCAAAAGGGATGTGTGTGGTGTGGTAAACATAATCACACCATACAGTTCCTGGTACATAGAGCTGCTTAATAAACACTAGGTGCTGTTGAGAGTTGTGAATGCTGGCAGCGGGTCTGGAGCTAGAGGCCCTGGAGAGGCCCTGCGGGGTTAGGGGTCTCTTCTTTTAGTTGTTAAATAATGAGGAGAGCTGAGTGGTCTGAAGCGGGGGCTGGCGCATGGGGAGACTGGTGGGGGAAGTTGGGGCAACAGCTGTTCACCAATGGTGTGGTCATATATATTGATTTTTAGTATTTGCTCTTTCTGGTTCACTTCCTCTCTTTTGAAAGTCTTCTCAAACCTTCATTCAGCAAATATTTATTAAACACACATCACACACCCTGTGGGTGTGGCAGAGAAGTCAAATTCTCAGCCCATGTGGAGCTTATATTCTGACTTCCTACTTCTTCTTCCTTACCTTTCCCCTAAGTATGAATATATTCTATAAGTTCAGATTACAGCTGTTTTCTCTTATTTCTATGAAATGGTTTCAACGATCACCTCTGTG